TTGCCTTATTAAAAACTATAGTATGAGCATCGGTGGTTGTTTGATGGCTGGGTGTCTTATATTCACCGATAAAAATTTCGATGATGAAAAAACTGGAATAATAGTTAATTAAGGATATAATGCTGGATTCTCAAATTTTTGAGGGTTGTATAATATACAAGTATAATCATTTTATAAATAATATATTTATAAAATTCATTCCAATTAATAGGCTTTCAGTTTTTTCATGAATAGCTGATCAATTTCATGAAATAAATCATTCTCATCACCATTAAATGGACCATGAATAAATATTTTCGCGTATCATAATCAGCATTTTTAATTCCTTGAGAATTTAAGAACATTAATTTGAACTTCAGATACATGGCCTGCAAAATTATTCTTCATGCATCACATTATAAGAAGATGGCGTTTTCTGACACCTTATTTGCGATGAATCATCCGCTGAATAATCATTATGAATGATCGGCCTTCTGGCAGCAATAAAGAATGATATCATAGTCTCCTTTTCCTTGCATAAAATGCATATGGTTTGAGCATCAGAACGTTATTAGTTTCCATAAGCAATATTGGACGCGGTGGTATTTTGCCCGGAATTAATGCCACAGGAATTCGATCCTTTCGGAAGATTGTCCCTGGAATTTGTAATGAAAATTTTGCGATGCGTAGCCGATATTTAATATTAAACGTAGCGCTGTGCTACCGAGTAAGAACCATGCATAGATATTCGATAACGAATGCAAAATATTAAGCTTGTATATATTCAATTAATGTGAGGAAGATACACGTACACAACTAAATATTAGTTTTTGTAAAGCAAGAAAAAATTACTGTAATATAATTTAAAAACACAACCTTACACCATGTAAAAACTGACAAATTTAAAACAACAGGAAACAGAATTCAATGCAAAAATTTAAACTACGAACGCATAATACAAGTCGGCCTCTCAGAACAACAATAAAAATATTCAAAAAGCAAAATAACAATATGATGAGCTTTAAAAATCAGATTGAAATCAATACCAGAACATTTCAAATAAAAATCTAATAAAAATCACCAAAATATATAAATAGTAAACAGAATTGCACAGCCGCATGGGATAGTAATATAAAAACATCGCGAATTCGCTTTTCATATTAATCATATTAACTGAATTATTACAGTAACCCGAAACAAAAAAATCCAGAATGTTGTAATATTGTACCCAAGCCATCGCAACTTGTTTCTGAAGCATGCGACTATAGTTCCAAACAACACAATGTTGTTTAGCAACACATTAAAATCTGAAAATATCAGTTCCAATATTTTTCACTTGTTTATAATCTGAACAAAATATTGGAAGCAGCGACTTTAATTAAAAGCCATGAAAAATATTCTTTGTTTACACGGAACTGCTCGACGTCATAAAATATCCTTAAAACTTCGAACAACGCTGAAAATATCAAAATATATTTCAGCTCTGGTAACAGTAATCCTCGGAAGGTGAGAATATTTTTGCCAGAACAAACAAATTTTCCGATAACAAGATGCAACAAGACACAGAAAATGATTTCCAAATTGAAACAAAATATTTATCAGCAAAGAACAATTTTCAATGTTACACAGTGTAAGTCTAACCTCTTCATTATTTCCGAATAGATAATATTAAACAGTAAAACAATACATTTACGAGATACACAAAATATTTATTTAAATTATCTAAGCTTTATTAAGTTTATAAATTATTTCTGAAAAATACCTAAGATATATGAGATACATATAAAAGACTTATAAAGGTTTTTTAAGATTTATGTGATATACAAGAGTTGATTGAAAAATTCAACAGATTTATTAGAAATACAAAAAATATATGTGAGCAATTCCAACGATTTACGAGAAAAACATATAATACAAAATATCAATGAACATTAAAAAATGTATGAGCAATAAAAATTTTTACAAAATATTCTTGAATTCATACAAAATATTTGAGATCAATGCAATATATATATATATAAACAATAAGCAAACTATTTATTGGCAATAAGATATATTCCAAGCGATAGAAAAAGTATCTTATTAATATAGTATATAAACATACATATAATAAAATAAAATATTCTTCAGTAGTAAAAATGTTCCACGAATAATGAAATACATCTCAACATTCAACACCAAATATTTCTAGGCTAAATATTCTACACAGCATGAGTCATTTTCAACACCCTAGGATATTTCTAGCATCACTTATAGTAAATTATGCAGCCGCTTGATAATTCCCGATAAATTTTCCCATTAAGCCGCGAGCTTCAATTTATCAGCTAATGACTTCATAATTCATCGCTGATGAATGGAATGAACCCGCTAATGGAATAAGGTTGGCTGGGGCCCGAGCGGGGTGAATAAGGCTTAATTTTGTGGTATGCGATGTTGTGGCATTGGTGTGGTATTTTTGTGGTATGCGGTCTGCAACGTTGATCAATCAATCATTTATAAAGATGGGAATTTAATATCTTTAGAATCGTGTCGGGAAATTTCCAATATCTGTACAAATCGGGAAAGTTCCAATTTATTTCATCATGTTGAATTCTTTCATTGGAAGATCGTCGCTAACGATGCTTTTTGGTACAAAATATTCCTTTTGATCTGCCAGCTCTTAACTTCACCAATTGTCGACACGAAATTCACAAATTTTCTAACCTTTAATGGGATAATTTTCCGGTCTGGTTCTCCAGCCTTTACAAATTTCCTGTCCTTGATCTGGTGATGTACAATCCATAAATTTCGAAGCGTTTACAGGAATAAATTTAAGAGATCGATCCTCCAGCTCCAGGACACAAACGTCCCCAGATCTGAAGATCAGCTATAGGAGATCTTGGCTCTGCCAGAAAGATCTGGCGATTGTGGCTGCCGCCGCAAAAGTTTCTCGAGTTTTTCTGTTGTTTTCTTCGGCGTGGTGGCCGGACAAGAAGGACTGGAAACCTGCAGCAACTTTGAGAAGTTCTTCATTTCTTTGCAAGGCTGCGTGAGAGTCGAGCATTTGGAGACTGCAGCTAATACGGATAACTTTAGGCGATGGGAATGTGTGTGTCTGTGAATAAGAATGAATAGAAATCGTTGCGATCGTGAGTAAAAATGTATTATGAGCGCTGGTGACACACCAAAATGAAAATGAAAACGTGCTGGACGGAGTGCATATATACATGATGTTGGTGCAAAATATTAAAAGATTGAGAGATACGTAAAACATTACGGAAAGAACCTTTCCTCGCCTCTCCCTGGCTGCCACGAAATGATGGCGTACATTTGGCCGAATCCTTAAGTAAGAATTTGTTAATTTCGGGAAATAACTTTAATCTCAAGCAAAAATTTTCCATGTAGATCACCTACAGAATTAATGTTTGGAAAGTTCACTATACATTGATTACTAAATAACAAGGTTTACGAATTTTCCGGAGGCTGAGCGAGGTTGAGCGTTTTGCATTAACAACTAATTCAATGGTTGACGGCCTAAGCTAATGAATTTCTGTTAACGCAAGTGAACGCTGTTTTGATAACCCACATCGAGGGTCGTTTCCGAAGTGCAATGTAAACCGCCTGCCGTAATTGCAAATTTTGATGAGTTTAGAGATGCAATCAATTTAATATGCTGCATAATAACAGACTACTCATAATCTGTCATGTCAGTGCACCTGAATATGGTTCTATCACGAAAAATATATATTGTTGTAAATTTTAATCGTTATTTTGCTCCGGAAGCTGCAATGAATGAAGTTATTTGAAAAGCAATAAACGATTTAACCAAAAATGTCAATGAATAGCTAATCATTTTGAATACTTAATTATTTGTAATTAATTGTTTTAAAGTTTAGCCAGCAGCCTCTAATAATTACCTGTAGTAACGCTACGGGTAATTCTCCGTAGCGTTGTTAAGGTTAATAATTATTAGTTATTAGAATCATGTTGACATTGAATTTTGCGACAATTTGAGTTTATGTTCTGAAGTTGAGAGATAAATTAATTTATTCAGCATTCCTAACGCCATAGTCATAGGACCAGCGATGTTAAATTGTATTTCATTTTTGTTTTAATTATTTAAATTAGCAATAAATTCAAAATATATGCGTTTTAATGGTAAATTTGATGTTACTGTCATTTTCATTTGATGTTTTACAAATTTAGTTTACGCATAGTTCATTAGTGATAGTTTGAGCAACGTTAATATTTTAAGTAATGTAATCAATACGCGAATCCATTAACAGCATTGTTGTATCCACGATATAGAGCATTGATGGATATGTTGCCTTGATGGATATGATGCATTGATGGATGTGCTGCAGTTATGGATGTGCTGCAGCGATGGATATGTTTCATTAATGGATGTGATGCATTGATGGATATGTTGCATTAATGGATATGATGCAGTGGTGGATATGTTCATTAATGGATGTGATGCATTGATGGATGTGATGCATTGATGGATATGTTGCATTAATGGATGTGATGTAGCGATGGATATGTTGCATTAATGGATGTGATGCATTGATGGATATGTTCATTTATGGATGTGCTGCAGTGATGGATGTGCTGCAGTGATGGATGTGCTGCAGTGATGGATGTGATGCAGTGATGGATGTAATGCAGTGATGGATATGGTTCAGTGATGGATATGGAGCATTGATGGCTATGATATGCTGACGGTCATGGTGGATTGGTAGATATTGCGTATTGATGGATAAGGTTTATTCACCTCAGCACTAGATATTTAACATTTATTTCTGTTTCAGATGGGCGCAGTGAATCTGTGACACTGAGTAGACAATTTCTTCAAATGAAGTCTAGTTAATTTATTCAGCAGAATTTGTAACAAACGCATGAGTTTTTAAACTCGTCACTGTAATAATATATCTAATATTATTTAATATCAATATTAAACACTTGATTATTGTCCTTTATGATATTTGAAGGACAAGAAATTTGTCGGTGTTCATTTTGGTGAAGGCAGCACAAGACAGGGAGGAAAGTTGACGTCAAGATGAATATAAGTTGCAGAAGTTGGGTATCGTTGGTGCAACTTGTCGTCGCATGTAAGTATAATGATCAGCTAGTTCATTGTGAATTTATTTACTTATATATTTATAAGTAGTTTTAATACTGTGATTATTATGTAACAAATACATAAATAAATATTATTTGTCATATGCGGTTGCTCGACTTATATAATTATAACCACTTTTAATACTATAATAACCATGTAATAAATACATAAGTAAATAATTACTACTTTAACAAAAAAATTTGTTAAGTAAATACTTTAAAAATAACTTTTTATGTTCAAAGTCTGACACATGTTATTGCAACTGTGTTGTAAAAATAATCCCTGGTATATTATTTCCTCATCAATCTATTTGAAACAATCCTTAGTGTGAAGATTGCATGATGTGCAATTATTATTCGGGTCGAGAATATATAACATTCCCTTGACTGACGATTGCAGGTCCAACGATCATTTCAACAGAGATATTGCAATACTCCCAAGCCTGATGATTGCATGTTTCACAATCTTTCCGGTAGAGAGTCACGTGTCGAAATTAGTTTATGTTTTTTATTACTTATGTTAGTTTATTAGTTATGTTAGAATATTATTTATGTTAGTTTATTAGCTATGTTAGTTTATTAGCTATGTTAGTTTATTCTTTTAATCTCTGACCTTCGAGCTTTCAGTGGAATAATCCAAAGCGATTGAATTTACAATGAAACTAACAAATAATTTTGAACATTATTAATTTTCAACCCACCAAAATCCCCTTGTTAACATAGTTTGGCAATCAAACGAGAAGACGTTGGCGTTGAAATCCATCGCGCAGACGTTGGCATCGTGCAGACGCTTTCACAGACGTTTTTTCTCAGCTGATTAATAACTCTGGTAACAGAAATTTCTTAAAAGTCTAGGCAACTTCAAGATAAATATTTACGTTACTTTCAACCAACACCGGTGGCTCAGGTATCACAGATACCATCAGAAAAGCCATGGAAGCGTTTATAAACAATGACAAGTTTCCTTCCTATCTTCCTTCCTATCTTCTTTCCTGGCTTCAGTATTGTTTTCCTTCTTCGTTTACTTAACTTCCTGTTCCGTGCATCCTTTTCCTACGTTCCTGCCTCCGGCGTCAAGAAGAGTTCCTACAGTAATGTTTTGTGCAAGTATAAATAAACAAACTCAAGGTCCGGTGATTTCTTATAGTAGGAAATAAGGAAATGCAAAATATTATCATAGCGTAGTTAATAATGAATATTTTGTAGATGGAGCAAATATACGTAATATACGACTAGCTTTGGTAATGTGAATAAGCATGGGAACTTATATTAAAGTTTAAAGTTTAATTTAAATATTTTAGTCGGTTGCATTTCATCGATTATAATTCATATGTCCATTGATGTAAAGAAACAGATTTTACTTTTCTTTATAAAGCCAACCAAAGAGCACTCGTTTTATCGATGGCCGTAATTGGCCCCATGTAGTCTACGGAGAATCACCCCTAATATTGAATATTAAATAATATATTTTTCAATGTTATTTTGTTAAAGAGTTGGTCAACTGCGCTTTTAAAAAGAATCATAGTTATTGCTGTGCAAATCGCATTGCCAAATTGTGATTGTTCCATAATTTGTATTTTGTCCTGAGGTAATAAGCGGTAACTGCAGGCCTGGGCGCAATATTTCTAAAGAATAGCATCCACCATTCATATAACATCACGTTTACTGATTATTTCTACGAGGCAGTAAGAAATTAATTAAATAAAAAATAATAATAATAATAATAATAATAGTAATAATAATAATTATAATAATAATAGAGAAATAATAAATCGGACTTTATTTTTATATAGAGTTTCAACAATTTTTCAAGTTTTCTAAAAACTTCCTTTTCAATTACACTTAGGCGTCGAATAATGATTCTGGATAAAAAAGACACGATCGCAGTTCTGAAATAAAAATCCATATATTCTAACGTTTCGGCTATCTACAATAATAATAATAATAATAATAATAATAATAATAATAATAATAATAATAATAATAATAAACCCGGCGTTGACAGCGTCTCAATCGCATCGCAGCGTCTCAATCGCAGTAACATCTGTTGGATGTTACTTGAGACTTCTAGCTACTTCTTTGACTAGTTTTTTTTATCATGAAAGCTAAATTAGTTAATTCTACCTAACGTTTTTACAAAGAAATGTATTTTTCTAACGACTTACTCTTTTTAGCGCATTTTCTCATTTATGGAAAAAGGCGCTATAGTGCTCGTCATGTCCGTCCGTCTGTCTGTCTGTCCATCCGTCCGTCATTTCTGTCCGTCTGTCTGTCTGTCCGTTCGTCCGTCATGTCTGTCCATCTGTCTGTCCATCTGTCTGTCTGTCAGTCTGTCTGTCCGTCCGTTTTTCCGTGACTTCACGTTTTCGTCGACGAGAAAATGCGCTCTCTGCCACTTACTGCAGTGAGTACTGAGTTATATTTTTAAAGTATATTCTGTGATTTGAATCTACTTATTTTTCAAACAGTATTATGTTCAAATTTTAATTCTTTTTCTTTGAAACGGCAAGTTTTAAGTCGTTTTGTTGGGCCCGGAGTTTCATATCCAGTTGGAGTCATCACTCTGTTGCTTAACTCCTCCCAAAAGCTCCATTGAACTCCGGTTATCAGGTTCTAAACTCCATGTTTTGGACGTCAATTAACTCTTTTTATTTGCCTTTAAAAGTTGACGGCTTTTTTATGGTTACCATCCGGCAAACGCTGCATCAGCTTCAAATTCCTTTGGTTTATCAGTGTAAAATTTTGCAAGAAACGACAACATAGACGCCATTTAATTTACCTTGCATGGAAAGCTCTTAGATTTTTAAAAGCTCGGAAATTACATAATTTTTGGGGGTACAGGGGGTGAAAAGAAATAAGAAAATAAGAGATTAAAATAGACCAGTTCTATTTCTTCGTTCACTGTTCCTCTCGCTCGATGTTATTTTGTCTTTGGGAAAAAATTAGAGTGAAATTTGCGCTGTAGATTTTTTTTTTCAAAAATAATGTTAGAAATTTTATTTATGGCCCGTTATTTTTAATTTACTTCATTTTAATGAATTATATTCTGGCACTAAACTCCGACGAAACAAATAAATTCATTTGCGAAAGCTCAACATGCAAAACTTACAAGCAGCCTTATTAAGGGAAAACCCTGAACTCTTAATTAGTCTGTCATTTCAAGAAGAAATAAATTTTAATTAAATAAATTGGTCTGTCATTTCATGAACAATTTTTGGTCGGTAATAAAAAGAAAAACTGAGTCTTTACCTGCTGAATAATCTCCAATTTCTTAAAGTTATTTCATTTCCGTGCCCGCATAAAGTTCTGTTATAGGGACAAATTAGGCAAGTTTCAAGTGGGTTAGAACTTTTGCCGTGGCTTAGAGACGCTTTATTACACATAAATTGTGAGGGTCGTACGTCGACATCTCGATGGCGACCGAGGGTCTGTAACTCAAGCGTCGATCTTGACATTTGATTATGGGAAGTTTACCAATTTATTCATGTAGATATATGTAAATATTAGTATAATATAAGTTAGGAGGGTAACTGAGCTCAGATGCCAGATACACCAAGATATGTAGTCTTGCCGTTTTAATTTTCTTAGGTCTATTTACTGAAGGAACTCCACCCCCCGCCCCCCGTTAAAGCGCGGCTGTGTGCGTCAATATTGCCGTTCATGGATCGCAGTAGTATCGTTGGAAAGCTCAGAATGTCAGCTTTATGATGAGACTAAGCATGTAACTGCAGCACAACTCAAGTAGAAACTATATTCAAAGATTTCAGCAGCTAATTAATTTATATCTAATTAGTTGCAGAACTCTTCACCCGCTTCCCTTTAAAGAGACGTCATGAACGTAAATATTGGCGTACAGCAATGGCAGTGGTACCATTGGAAAGAGCAGAATTCCAGCTTTCAGATGAGCACAAAAACCGGAAAACGCCAAAATTGAAAATTTTAGGGTAGTCGGTCCCCTTAATACTTTCGCATAGTAAATAATTCTTTTAAACGTTTAAACTTTTGCTGATTAAGGAAATAAGGCGAAATCAGCTTTAGAAAGGATTTTAGGTTTGATTTCTTCCTTTTGTTCATTTTTTCAATTTCCTATTTATTCCTCAATTTTAGAAATGCTATTACGGTCACAAAACCTTTAATGAGGTTTTGAGATTCTAAAATTCTACTAAAAATAATTAAGCAATTTAAAACCCCATTTTCAACCCATTTCTGACAATGAAATAAAAGTTGAGGATACTATTTTTTCTATTTACGAAACTTCGTAGCAAACCACGATGGAAATATTCACACGACTCACAAATGAAATAAGTCTAAAATTTCAATATTTAATGTCATTGATGCAAACAGCCTAAATAAATGGATACCCAATACCCAACGTCACTATAAAGTAATAACCAGCGCGTCTCTATGATTACGGCAATTTCCCTCAGCAATGGCAATTTTCCGATTAACTTGCAATTAATTCCGAAAAATAATCACTTCTAAGATATCTCTCTTTTCTTTGATTATCTTGCAAGTCATCCCCGGTAAACATGCACCAATTTATCTCTTCACTATTTAATCATCTCGCAACTCTTCCCCGACATATGCAATAAGTTATCTTTCCACCTTATAATCATATCGCAACACATCTCCGGCAAACATGCATGCACAGTGTTATCTCTCCAATCTTTGATTATCTTGCAACTCATCCCCGACAACATGCACCAAGTTATCTCTCCGATTTATAGTCATTTTACCACTCCCGACATATTTGCACCAAGTTATCTCTCCACTCTATGATTATCTCTCAACTCATCCCCGACAAATATGCACCAAGTAATCTCTTCACTCCTTGAATATCTTGCAACTTCTCACCGACATACATGGACCTAGTTATCTCTCCGTTTTATAATCATTTTGTAACTTATTCCAGACAAATATGCACCAAGTTATCTCTTCACTCTTTAAATATCTTGCAAGTAATCACCGACAAACATGGACCTAGTTATCTCTCCGTTTTATAATCATTTTGCAACTTATTCCAGACAAATATGCACCACGTTATCTCTCAACTTTTTAATCATATCTTTACTCATCCTCGACAATATCTATTAAACATAAAATTAAACATCCTGCAGTGCAGACAGCAGCGGGCCTACACATCCTAGGCATCCAGGTGCCCCGCACGGCGCTGAGCGGGGAGGCTGTGGAGCTCAAGTGTTACATCAAACTGGACAGGGACTCTCTCTACTCCCTTACCTGGTGGCGCGATGACCAGCAGTTCTACCAGTACTCCCCTGCAATGTCGCCTCCAAAACGACAGTTTGATGTACCTGGCATCGTCATCAACGTGAGTGTATCAATAAAATTCCATGCTAATTATACCTGCGAAAGTTATACCTTAGTTTCAGTGACCACAAACAAATTTTGGGCGTGATGGCAGCGTTGAATTTGAGGTATTAGATGATTGGCTGAAGATTTTATGGTAATTTTTGTATGTAAAATGCGATTCACGACTTGTGAAGATACGACAATCCAAAGGTTTGCTGAGCTTCAGAGGTAGAATTGTAGACACTATGTTAATCTTGTGTTAAGAAATGGTGCTTGTGAAAGTGAAAACAACATGTCCATGATATCATTGGACAATTTTTTCTTGAACCGTTTTTCTTTTGTTTGTCTCAGTGTACCAGTTGGTGCAAAACCTTTCATGCTGTAAAATATGATTTTAGAGAAAAGTAAAAAGAGGTTTTTGAACCACCAAAATTACTAAAAAAGTATTCCCGATACCGAAGTTTTGGCCGTTAAAATTTGACGCGATTCAATTCAATATTTTGGTCTTCGATAAAAATGTCTAATTTGAATATATATTTTATTTGCAAGATATGTTTTATATACGCAAGCTGTGAGAGCAGTAGCACTCTATCATTTCTAGTCATTTCCGACGCATCAGCTCCATTTCCCGGCAGTAATTGCCGAGTGTTGGCCATTTCCTCCATAGCCGCCACCGTTGGTACCGCATTGAACAATTATTTTATTTTCGCCTTCTGCAAAACTGCAATTGTTGAATAATTCACTGCGTCATGAGACGGCCTCCGGCTGTTAAACAGACACCGACATATCAATGCCATTTAATTCCTTGCAATTGAGCGCTTAATCGCTAAACTAGAAAAACAACTAGAATTTTTCGCAGATTTTGATCATTTGGATATTTTATTTACTTGCTTCATCGCTGCTGAAATCAATTGCAGTTCTATTGCATATCGCGGGTATCATGATATGTTATTCATGGCCACGGTTGTGCAGCAAATTTATTTCTTGTTTAAAATTGTTCAACAGTCGCTATTAGATGCTCGATTGCTGCAGTGGTGAAAAATTTTTCATTTCCGTTTCAAGTTTTATTACTTGTCGCTATTGGAAGTTCAATTGCCGCTGTGGAGGAGTGCATTTCACTCTAGTTTCAAGTTCTATTACTTGTCGCGATTATATGTTCTATTGCCGCTGCGCTGGAATGCATTTCACCTTAGTTTCAAGTTTTTTAACTTGTTGCATTTAGATGCTTTACAGCCGTTGTGATGGAATCGAGTTCCATTAAAAATTTCAGGAAATGGTTGCAGTATACGCCTGGCGCATGGCTGATTTAGTTTATCAGGGCACAACTTTCATTTGAAATCAACTTCAAAAGTTAGAATGTTTGCCTAGTTGTTAAACAGTTGTTCAGGTTAGTTATGCACTACAACAGGATGCATAACTGGTGAACAGAAAGTTTCAATAATGATGCACGGTAATGGTAACGTACCTTGGTAGAAAGTAAACTATTCATTAAATAATCTTACGTTTCAAGGAGAAAGACAGTAATAAGGATATTTAATGATGTTTAAATGCTTGTGAAACTTCGCATTATCTAATTAATAAACATACTGAAAAGGCACATATTCCATGAACTGAAATCGATGAAAATTATCAGATATACATTAATCACACCTTATAACAATTAGTCCAGCAATACCTTAATCATTTTATGTTTTTAGTTGTGTGCTTTTTGAACATCTCCTCGTGGATCCAGACTTTATTTTTGAAACTTTACCTCAAAAGAACTAAAATATTTTCAATCAAATACAGCGGATTCTTAAATATACATTTAAACAAGGGTTGTTAATAGCCAGAGAATTCATTAAATTAAATTTTTAGGATCGCAGAATATTATCCAGATGACATTGGTTAATCAAAAATGTGACAACATTCATTATCAAGGTATGAGAAGCATTAAATATAAAAATTTTGGTGGAAAAAAGTACATGATACATGTATATATGAGAAAACACGGAAATTTGGAACCATGAAAATAACTCCGTAACAATCTCAAAGTTCAGAAAATCTGGTAGTTATGAAATGGATAGCTGGAGTCCAAGGGTGATGACACGCTAGTGGATGACTACACGCTGGCGGGTGATTACACGCTGGCGGGTGATTACACGCTGGCGGGTGATTACACTTGGCGGGTGATTACACGCTGGTGGGTGATTACACGCTGGTGGGTGATTACACGCTGGTGGGTGATTACACGCTGGTGGGTGANGATTTATTAAAGGGCCGTATGTAATAAAGATGTGTATAAGAGACAGTGATTACACGCTGGTGGGTGATTACACGCTGCTGGGTGATTACACGCTGCTGGGTGATTACACGCTGCTGGGTGATTACACGCTGGTTGGGACGATGCATTAACCTCCAGTTCGTGTTCAGTATATCACAAAACACGTACGAACAATCCTCAGACCGAATTATTGTATAATCGAAATTACCTATAAGTTTACCCGGAAACTGTTTAACTTTCGTCCTGTTCTCTGAAATTTATTCTGTACAGAACAAATCATAAATTTGTCAACAATTTATCAAGTTTTGTTTGTACCAGTACAGTGAAATATCATTCTATTCTTTTATTCAGCTGGAAATTTAGAATTTTCTTGTATTCATTACATAATGGATTCAAATCAAAAAATAATTTTCTTACATCAATTTATAGTCAATTAAAAATGTTTACTTTAAAAAAATGCTCTACTCGAATAAATATTTAACTTCTTTGGAACATTTTACATCAAACCCTTGAGTTGAGCATCTGTATAAAATTATACATTCTACACCAGAATTGAACTTTTCTGAAGCATTCTATTTCAATCTCCAAAGTTGTACTTCTCTTCAACATCATTCTATATGTTCAACTCATCAACGAAAAATTCAGATTTTTTCTAGCATTCTGTACACATTTCAAATATTGAAATTTTGTTCAACAATCTACTTATTCATTTATTTAAAATAAACTTCTAGGCAGCATTGTATTTTATTGATATAATACAGCTTTTAAATAGCATCCTCAACTGGATAAAAATAGCATCCTTCACAATTTGAACCATTTTTAACATTCTATTTCTTTATTCATTCAACAAATAATAAAACTTTTATGTAGCATTGTATTTTAATAATATAATAAATCTTTTAAATAGCATCCTCGCCCAGAAAATGTACCGCGTATGGGCCCAGTGGTTACAGTTCAGAGTACCAGGATTGGAGCAGAGAGGCGCGGGTTCGATCCCAGCTCTGTGCGTCAGTTTCTGGTCAGAAACGGCAAGGAGGCCGGGCGGTTAAGCACAGCAGAATTGGAGCAGTGAGTTGCGAGTTCGAGACCGCAACAAGCTGTGAATGTTCTGCGATGTTAAGAATTGGCGACAGGCCTACGGCCTAATAAACGCTGAAACCGCTACAGAATCGGCGAGGAGGCCGGGCGGTTAAGCAAAGCAGAATTGTAGCAGTGCGTTGCGAGTTCGAGACCGCAACAAGCTGTGAATGTTCTGCGATGTTAAGTATCGGTGACAGGCCTACGGCCTAATAAACGCTGAAACAGTTATTATTATTATTTTTATTATAGATGCACGAGTCAGGGCTGGAGAACGTGGTGCTGGCTAGGGTAGACCACCGGGCGTCGGGGGAGCTAAGGTGCGAGGCGGTGTCGGAACAATCCTTCGAGAAGGACTCCAAGGCCAGCAACTTCACTGTTATCGGTAGGATGCATTGAATTATTTCTGTTTCAAATAATAATGATTACACATCCTTGCTTTTAATGTAGAAATAGTGGTGAATTCTGATATGTATGTTAAATATGGTTTTTGTGGAATGTACATTTTCTCGAATGATGGTGTAGTTAGGCAGAAGCTTTTCTCTTATGCAAGTTTGATTGAAGACCAGAGCATGCTTTTTATTAACAATCTTCTTGTTCGTTTTTTCAATGAGTCGAACCAAATTTCTTGCTGGCGTCGGGAGATCGAAAAGCAGGTTCAAATGACATTTTAATAGTTTGCAACGTTTCGAAAATACAATTTTCATTATCAAGCTGGAGATGGTTTTTCAACATTTGAAATTGAATTTGATATGACTGAAGTACATATGAATGGTATAGTGGATACTATAAAATAAATAATGTGGATACAACAAAATATATAAACTTAAAATTACTCTGAAAATAATTTCAGCGTCCGGACGAATCCTGTAGTTTGGAGGTTGATAGCTGGAGACTCGCTCTTGATAATGAGGGCCTCAGCTATCGTCAATCTCGATCGGTCGGGGCACCGCATAACTATGCTGGTGCAGGTCTCCAATGTCGCTCGGGTGATGGTCTCATTGTGAGTCTCCCGCATGTGGTTCTTAGGTCCTCCAGATTGTAGGTGGCATGTGAGTCGGCGGCTTAAGGTCGTGCTTGTTAGACCAATGTAGTTCATATTTTGAAGAAGTCTACAACCTTCTTGATTACATGAGAATTTATAAACAGCTCTTTGTATGAGAGCGCGCACTGTGTTGGTTTTATAGCGCTGCGGGCATTCACTTTTTTCGTTAAGCACTTTCCCGACATCGGTAGGTTTTCGGTAAACATTAGTGAATGACGATTTCTCGAATGACGGCACATAGAGCGAACAATACATGCATTTCATGTCTTTGATAGTAATATGCAACGAATATTCAATCAAAATGTTATTTCTGATGAATAATATTGCGAATAACATTTGTTGTGAACAATATTCATTTTTAAGTAATTATTAATAATTAAATTATTATAGTCATTCTTAATTATGTTGTTGAGACTTACACCATTCATCGACATTTAATAAATATTCTTTGATTGCATTGCTATTATTGCTTCATGATCATTATGAATGTTACTAATCTATACTTCATGACATCAATATAGCTATTGAATTAATCAATTAACTAGATTGAAATGAACTGTAAAGAGTTTCGGCAAGCTCATTTATTTATATTTACGCAAGCAGATTCATTTAATACGTACAGTCGGCACCATGCTGGTCATTAAGCGATTGTGATATTAACTATTCATTCATTAGAACTTTGATGATTATGTAGAAGTCGATATTAATGAAGTAATTCAAGCCTAACACACATGAATAGATTTACTTTGTTGGCTCATTAAATCAAAATACGTTACTAGATACGAACAAATTTTTCCATGGGTCATTTATTAAGTGATGTTCTATTTTTTCTTCATTGAAATTACCTTTATTTAAATGCGCAACAAAATTTCTCAACCAGTGTTCTTCATCGATTCCTTCGAGGATTGCGATCTTCTAAAGTTTGTGATCTTATTTGATCTGTAGATCTGCCTGTACGGGCACCGAAGATCACTGGACGTACATCAGGCTATACGGTTGGTGATCTTCTTCTGTTGAACTGCACATCACCAGCATCACACCCGCCTGCTACACATCACTGGCACATCAACGGCAGACAGGTGACTCTATGCTGTATAACTAGTGTTTAGTCCTATCGAATTTTATTAAAAAAATCACAGGCAGACAGGTGATGCTCCACGCTGTAGAACGAATACTCATTCTTATTCCTAGTTATTATATTAAAAAATTGTAGGCAGACATGTGATGCTCTACGCTGTAAAACAAATGTTTATTCCTATCGAATTTTATTAAAAAAAATCACAGGCAGACAGGTTATGCTGCACGCTGTAGAACGAGTACTCATTCTTATTCCTAGTTATTATATTAAAAAATTATAGGCAGAAATGTGATGCTCTACGCTGTAAAACGAGTGTTTATATTTATAAAATTTTATTAAAAAAATCTCAGACAGACAAGTCTGAGACAAGAGCACGTATTCCTATTTATTATATTGAAAAAATCCTTGGCGAACAGTTGATGCACTGCGCTGTAAAACGAGTACTTATTCCCATGTATTATATAAAAAAACAGGCACACAAGAGATTTTACGCTGCGAAACATATTCCTATTTCGCCAGACGTTCGTTAAAAATCAAAGCTGCTTCCATAAACTTAGTGTAACAGCGACTGCTACTCAATAATAGCAGGCGCTTCCACGACTTGTTACCAACATCCCGTTTTACTACACGCTTTAAATTAAAAGTGTTTTTTATTCTCAACTAAACTAGCACACTTCAATGGCCTCGTTCAACGTAAATGATTTTCTTTGTTTATATTAACAGTTACTTTTCTCCAGCGATTAAATGAACGCAGGTAAAATTTGAAATTAGTTGCGTACTTCGAATAACATAGTCGGAAATATCTATATGTCAACTACACAACATTTTGAAATATTTCTAGAGAGTCTTCAACGTTCAATAAGAATATTTATTTTCTCTTATTGTTACGTATATTCGTTTGGCGAAGGATTTGAATACACGATTTTTCGTTCAGTGGTCTTTATAAATCGGTTTCTGTAAACAAACAATATACAAAGGTAAAAATGGGTACATAAAATTAGTATTGCACATAAAGGTATAATCGAGAAGTAAAATCATTTATTTCGAACATATAATACGATATAAGTCAAATAAACACGTTACACGAATCTTCAAAATTAAAACACACGTACCAAACATTTCCTTCTTTACAGTCTAGAGCCAACACCGCAACTGAAAGTCTAGATGTCTTTAAAACCGAATTAAAGTAAAATGTCAGTGATACGCATGCATCTGGCGTACGAAATACACAAGAGAAGTGCATTTGAGAACCAGGAATTCAACACTTATCATTAAAATTTTAGAATGATGTGGTAATACATTATAAACGTATTTATTCGTTATCATATTAGTAAAACAGGCTCTCGTTCTTGTAAGTACTTTCTCGTTCACACATTTGCATTTTGTACTACAAGGAAAAGCCGGTAAATTTCCACACAGTGAGTTTCTTCTAAAGCTACTTTAATGGATTTCTTTCTAGATCTAATAAACAGCTCTGGGCTGCACCGGTCGAGGCGATAAGAGGCGTTGGCTTTTCAGCCTGATAAAGAATGCGCTCCAATAATTCTGCTCAGAATCGTGCCAGAATAGTGCTGCTCAAAATATTGCTGCACAGAATAATGCTGTTCAGAGAGCCTCCAGATTATCTTCCAAGGCTTTGCTATCTCCCTTCTTTACTCCCGACCTCGCGAAAGCATTTAAATCATTCTGCTATCGAAGTATTTAAAATACTTAAGTAATTGCAAGTAGTAGTAGTAGTAAGCAATAACGCAGTGTTTAAAATATTTCGAGTTGTTTTGATGCACTCGGGTTCTACAATATTTTCTTTTAAAAGAAGTAAAATAATTTGACACTATGGAGAGAAAATATTATTAATTTAGCAAGTTTTATCTAGCCATTTTTTAGATACTTTGCAAAAACTTTTACGCAACAATTAGTTCTAGTTGCGTCAGCATTTTACAGAATTTTAAAAGTCAAAAACTTCACAATTTTCATTGCTATCTACAGTTCAAACGATCCAATAAATCATCTAGGTCATTAAATACCTAGAAGTGTTCAATTCATACAGCATTCAACTGAATTTTACAAGATACTGCAAAAAGCTTGTAATCAAAATAAGGCATACCTTACATCTCGTAACCTTAATAACGTTCAACGTCATGAAATAGAACGCATTTATATTTTCATTATAAGCGGCATATATATGATCGTTTCAAGACATTTATCGCAGTGAATTTCTCCTAATAAAGGAAATATTTTTATTTTCCCGTTTGATAGCTAAAAGTGCGTGTGTTGCAACTTCAGTTAAAGTTCAAGAAATTCCTATCTAACTAAATAACATTAAAATTAATAACACTGCTGAAATTATCATTTGGGGCAAAATTTTTTATTTAAAAATAATTAAATTTTGTTACCGTATTTAGAAAATAAAATTTGATGCGTTCTCTGTCCAGAGCAATAAATTTGAGTTAGTAAGAATACATAAATTATTATTATTAAATTAAATAAAGAAACCTATCAGAGAGTGAAAGATATTGAATTTATTCTGATTGACATAGTAGAAACGCAACAGAGAATTTGCCCAACAATTTTTACTTTTTTTTTTGTTTTTTCGTTGCCAACACGCCAACTTGTCGAACAATGTCGCCAGTCAAGTCTGTTGATTATGAGCAACAACAGCACTGTTACAAACTTCCAACCTTAAGTTTGATTGGAGCTGCGGCAAAAGTTCTCGTAAGTTTTATTCGAGAGCGAAAATTGCAGTCAAGGGGCCAGTAGCTGCGAAACTTTAGATGAGGTCTCACTAAGGTCTGGAGCGACAACACTTGCTTTTTATACGCCTTGTGACATCCGAGCGGAGTGGCAGCAAACAAGGTGAAGGTGATGTCAGATACAAGGTATTGTTACTCTATTGAACGTTTCTGATATTAATGTTGAATGTGAGTAGTATTCAACAACATGAATGTCAGCAGCACTCAAGCTGAATGTCAGCAGTATTCAACTTGAATGTCAACAGCACTCAAGCTGAATGTCAGCAGTATTCAACTTGAATGTCGACAACATTCGATAGAGTAACATTACCTTGTTACTACATCAAATGTTACTGGTATTTATGTTGAATATTAGCAGCATTCAACATGAATGTCAACTGCATTCGATTGAGTAACAATACTTTGTTTCTCCATCGAATGCTGCTGACATTAATGTCTAAAATAAATATAGTCTTACTGGTGGCGAATTAATATTATTGATGACAACGTCTTCTCATTGTGATTTAGTTGATTTTTCCATTTAGTGATTATTTAAACAATAAGCGATCAGACGACTATCCCGATCTTCCGAACAAAATTGTAAAAAGTGATGGGCACAAATACACATCAAACATCGCAAATCACTCAATTGAAAAATGACTCGCTGGGCAAGTTATTGCTGGAAAACGTGAATGACTGGTTATTATTTAGATATGTTTTAAAAAGTAAAGTAATTTTTAAACACCTATATAATTTATAAACTGTCTGAATGTCTGTAAATATGCGCATGATTGGTAATGCAGCGCTTCATATATGCATGATTGGCCCTCTGAGGATCACATGATTGGCCCTCTGAGGAGTTTAGCAGGGGCCACATGTAATAAGATTTAGCAGTGGGCCATATGTAATAAGGTTTAGCAGTGGGCCATATGTAATAAGGTTTAGCAGGGGCCATATGTAATAAGATTTAGCAATGGGCCATGCATAATAAGGTTTAGCAGTGGGCCATATGTAATAAGATTAAGCAGTGGGCCATATGTAATAAGATTTAGCAGAGGCCATATGTAATAAGATTTAGCAGTGGGCCATATGTAATAAGGTTTAGCAGTTGGCCATATGTAATAAGGTTTAGCAGTGGCCATATGTAATAAGGTTTAGCAGGGGCCATATGTAATAAGATTTAGCAGTGGGCCATATGTAATAAGGCTTAGCAGGGGCCATATGTAATAAGATTTGGTAGTGGGCCATATGTAATAAGGTTTAGCAGGGGCCATATGTAATAAGATTGAGCAGTACACCATATGTAATAAGAAGTTCTGTGGCCATATGGAAATAGAGAAGGGATTTCAACACCCAGTCGTGGCCATATGTAAATCAAAGTGAATATGTAGTGTGATGATGAGTCAGCAATAGTGTGATGTTGATAATTATTTAATGCTGTAATAGTGATGACTCAGCAATAGTGTGATGGTGATGAGTCAGCAATAGTGTGATTGTGATGATGATTATTCAATGCTGAGATAGTGATGAGTCAGCAGTGATGTAACAGTGTTGATCCACTATTTCCCCCCCGCATCGCAGGCCTCCACAGAAACAGTGATCAAGTTCCCAGGTCGCGAGGACGGCTACGGCAGGACGAGCTCCTCGTCAGGCCTGCAGATGTTCTTGAGACCGCAGCACTTCATGAAGGGTGCGTCAAGTGCACCTACAATTATTTTTAAAATAATTTAAGAATAAATTTCGATTTTTAGTCTCCCAGTTTGTCAATTTCTTTATACAAAATACATTTTCATGCTTGAAGTGCACGTAAAACCATTTTTATATCAATTTCCAAAAAAAATTCTTATTTTTTGTGTCTTGTATGTATCCTGGATCCCCTTAAATGTATTCAGGATCACTAATATGTATCCTGCATCCCCTAATATGTATCCTGGATCCCCTTAAATGTTTTTAGGATCACTAATATGTATCCTGCATCCCCTAATATGTGTCCTGGATCCCCTTAAATGTAGCCAGGTAACACGTACCCAGATTTTGTTTATGGATACCAAGCCATGGACATGCTGTAAGCACCACCCTTGACGACAACCAAGCTCCGCCCACTAACGAGAAATGAAATTAGCTTCCCAAGGCTCGAACCCACGACTAGCTCCTCTCATCTCAGTGTCGCTATTAATTATTGTACATATTCTTCTCAAATTTCGATGAAATCTCATATTACGATCATCTTTAAATACAGTGAGAATAATCACTGCGATAGCGTGACTAACGAATATACAATTTAACGCTCATACAAACACACAACCACGAATACACACAGTAAACTTTGAAGAAGACTTGTTAAGACAGACAAGACAATAATTCACCCATTCATGTAATAACGATAATAATAATAAAAATAATAGTAATAATAATAATTAGTAATAATTATAATAATGATAATAATACGTATAATAAACTTTGAAGAAGACTTGTTAAGACAGACAAGAATAATAATAATGCGTATAATAATAATAATAATAATGATTTTAATAATATATTCACTTAACAATAATTTCACAACCTAGGTGAATTATTAAATAATTATTTTACTAATTATTTATTTATTCATCAATCCTTTATTATTAATTTATTTTTCGACTTATTAATTAATTATTAAATAAATCGTCCCTGTAGGTGCGCTGGTGATAGGCTGCGCGGCGCGCGTCCTGCACCTGCGGGACCAGCTCGCTGAGGAGATCATCATGGACGCCCGACACCCCGTTGAGGCGCCTAAGAGCCAGTTCTCGGAGGGCCGGTCTTACGGCCTCACAATTACGGGTAAATGGGGTGACTGTTACGGGGAAATGGGGTGCTTATTATGGGTAAATGGGGTGCTTATTATGGGGAAATGGGGTGACTATTACGGGGATATGGGGTGCTTATTACGGGGAAATGGGGTGCTGATTACGGGTAAATGGGGTGTCTGTTACTGGGAAATGGGGTGAGTATTACGGGTTAATGGGGTGTTAATTACGGGTAAATGGGGTGCTGATTACGGGTAAATGGGGTGACTGTTACGGGGATATAGGGTGACTATTACGGGTAAATGGGGTGCTTATTACGGGTAAATGGGGTGCTTATTACGGGTAAATGGGGTGCTTATTATGGGTAAATGGGGTGCTTATTATGGGTAAATGGGGTGCTTATTGCGGATAAACGGGGTGCTTATTGCGGATAAACTGGGTGCTAATTATGGGTAAATGGGGTGCTTATTACGAGTAAATGGGGTGCATATTACGTGTAAATGGGGTGCCTATTGCAGGTATATACGGGGTGCCTATTACGGGTAAATGGAGTGCCTATTATGGGTAAATGCAGAGCCCATTACAGGTAAAAGATATTGTCTACCATGTGTAGTTTGGAGAGCCTATTATGGGTAACAATGGGTGGCTTTTAGTGTTATAATGGCGCGGAATAGAAGAATAAAAACATGAATAGCGGTTTTTGGCGGGTAGAAAAATGTTGAGTACAATAATTGTGGACCAAGAAATGGCAAATGGGTGCGTGGTGAGCTAAGAAATGGTATGTAGTTTATTGGAACATCATGATATTCTTAATGGGTATCGGTGAACAAACGATGAACGAATAATCTCGATTTGAAAGCGGAATAAGTTTAATTCATTACGATGGTGAACGATCGGACTCAAGAAGTGCACATGCAGTGTAGGCAAACGCTTGAGAAATGAAGCGATGTATACTAAGCGTTTTGCGTTCATTATTATACAAATATTCTCCAAATTTTGACATACTTTTCACCCACCCCATGAGCCGAGAGCTGACATCGTTAATGTCCTACAAAACGTAAAACTTCTTTTCAACATTAGCATTAAATCTTGCAAGACAGCTTCTGAGCATCCGCTGCTGCTACTGCTGTTTTTGTAGCTCTGATAGCACAAACAACTATCGATATAACAGCTTAAACATTTTACGTTGCAACAACTTCAAAGAGAAAAATTATTTTCTAAACATATGGCGTTGCAATAACTACAAAGAGTAGTATTATTTTTCAAACATGTGACGTTGCAACAGCTTTAAAAAAAAAATATTGTTTTTTAAGCATTTGACGTTGGAACCGCCTAAATGAGATCGAAACATTATTTTTAGCGAATTTTCTCATTTATGGAAAAAAAGGCGCTATTGTGCTCGTCATATCTGTCCGTCCGTCTGTCCGTGCGTCTGTCCGTGACCACGTTTTCGTCGACGAGAAAATGCGCTCTCTGTTACTCACTGCAGTGAGTACTGAGTTATATTTTTTTGTTTATATAAATAAGGCGTTGCAACACCTTAAAAGAGAAACATTAAAACTTGCTTTTCCATACGACAGGTTGTGAACATCCACCGCTGCTGCTGCTGGCGCTGCTGCTGCTGTGGTACACAGGCACCTGAACCAACACATGTGTGTGTGGCACTAGCTGTATTAATGCTGCTGCTTGTGTGGTATTCAGAGAATCTTGAGTCATCTTGCCGCTTACCGTGTAAAATTTTAATCATTCGTAGTTACATTTGCATAGGAATAGACAAAACTTCGGTAATTTTTCTTATATGCTGTCTATTGATACTAAATCACTTAAAATCACTAAAAAAAGATGAACTCATGAAGTGAAGATCATATTGTTCAAGAAAGTACAATTATTGACATATTGAAAAAATGAATTGTACAAATGCTGTTTTTTTTCGATAAATTAATTAAAAAATCAAACAACTAAATGTCAGAAATTTCGTGAATTTATGAGGGAATATTTCATTTGGAGACATCTTCATCATTAAATTTCAGATCCGCTCATTCAATTCTGGAAAACCATGTGAACGTGAATAAAACTGACATAAACAGAAGGCAGGTGCAAAGTTAACAAATTTCACTCATTCTGTTCAACTTAAACTCAAATATCCAATAAGATAAAAATGTTCTATTGATTATCTTTAATTCAGTTTTAGATAAAAGTATAAATTATGTATTTATAAATTGCATAGATAAAATATAAATTGAAAGATGACAAATGTTGTAGAATATTTTTTGAGTAGTTTGGAAGTTTCATGATGATCGTTGAATTAATATATGTATTAAAATTTTAACGAATGTCAAATTAACAAAATGAATAATTTTGAATAATTTTTGTATTTAGATTTTGTTAATTGTTATAATAATAATTATAACAATTCATACTTTTTCGATGACTGTATTGAACAATAATATTGATATTGCCATTATGTGTGAAAGTTAAACATAATTGCAATAGTGATACATATATAATGTATAATATTCACACAAGTAAATGTGATTCATGTATTAATCCATTTGTAAAAGAAAGAACCTAATTAGTTAGTTATAACATTATTAATACATTATAGATCTTTAGTGTATCCTAGTATTGCTTGTTCGTCAATACTTGCGCAGTCTGAAATTATTATTTTTCTATACAACTACTTATACCCTAGTGTACAGCTCATATATATGTCGTTATTGTACATATTCTTCTTAAATTTCAATGAAATAATTTATTTAGACCATTTTTAAAACCTTCAATAATTGTTGTGAATTACAAATTTAACCGGTAAATTTCAAAAATTTTTCGTAAGTTTCACTGCCATGTGGTAAACACAACCTTCCGCGAAATTTCCAAAAACATTCACTATAAACATAAAGTATGTTGCTTCTGTAAATTCAGCCGGCAACATTTGATATTTATACTGTGAAACATGCGAGGCGGTGTATTAATCAACGGACTTTGGTGAAAGTTCTTCACTCATTTCCTTAGTAAGACTAAAGAACTTATTTCTCACTTATTATATTCATACGATATATTAATGCGAAAAGACTTTCTTTAGCCAACGCTGAATCCTCCTGGAGACATGGAGCGGAAGTGAGTCATGGAGCGGAAGTGAGTCATGGAGCGGAAGTGAGTCATGGAGCGGAAGTGAGTCATGGAGCGGAAGTGAGTCATTGAGTGGAAGTGAGCTGAGCCATGGAACGTGAGTCGTGGAACTGAAGTGAGTCATGGAACGTAAGTGAATCATGGAACGGAAGTGAGTCATGAAACGGAAGTGAGTCATGGAGCGGAAGTGAGTCATGGAGTGGAAGTGAGCCATGGAACGTAAGTGAATCATGGAACGTAAGTGAGTCATGGAGCGGAAGTGAGTCATGGAGCGGAAGTGAGTCATGGAGCGGAAGTGAGTCATGGAGTGGAAGTGAGCGATGGATCGTAAGTGAGTCATGGAGCGGAAGTGAGTTATGGAGCGGAAGTGAGTCATGGAGTGGAAGTGAGTCAGAGAGCGGGAGTGAGTCATCGAGCTTAAGTGAGTAATGAAACGGCTGAGTGTCATTAAAAGAATGGATATCTGAAATTTACAATACAATTCTAAAATTCGTACCCACCTTAAGCGTTGTATTCGCAAAAGTAAATCATTTTGACCCACCAATTTTGCTGAGAGTTGGAACCAATCTAACGACTGAAAACTACAGCAGCAGTTCAATCGAGCATCTGGTTTAATGTGTATAGCTTTTATATTATATGTATTTTTTAATATCGTTGAATAAAATTGTAATAAAATGAAAAAGTGAAAAAATGACCGGAGACTAATTGATGACAATAAGCGGATCCAATTTCGAATAAGGTAATGATGTTACTTGTTATTGTAGTTAATATATTTCCTGTGGCAATCTGGGGCCGTGCAACCAAACCTCGTTTCGAAATCTTAACTCCATTGGCTGGCGGCATGAATACACGTGGCGCTACGTATAGTTAGGCATCTACGTATATTTAGGCCACTTCGTATTCGTGGGCTTTTACGTTACGTATATTTAGGCCTCTACGTATATTTAGGTCACTTCGTGTTCGTGGGCTTCTACGTATATTTAGGCCTCTACGTATACCTAGGCCGCTACGTATACTTAGGCCACTACGTATACTAAGGCCGCTACGTATACTAAGGCCGCTACGTATACTAAGGCCGCAACGTATGCTAAGCCCGCAACGTATACTAAGGCCGCTAAATGTACTTGAGCGAGTATCGATATAACGGCTCCTTGTAATTGCTTTGAACTCTGAATGTTTCTCCCCCGATAGAAGCAGGCGAATTTGTTTACACGGACTTCAGGTAGCATTTGCATGATCAGGGTACTGATTTTGTCTGCTTTTTTTTTTTTGAGGTACGATGTATTAAAATGTGATGGATGTATTAAAAACGATGATGTATTTATACAAAAAGGTGACAGATGTGTAAATACTAAAATAAGATGGATGGATTTGAACAAAGTGTTGACAGATGTGTAAAAAAACAAAGATTGACATTTTTTTGGTTGGGGGCAGTTTTCAATCCAAGTAGTCGGTAGGGTTGAGTAGAACAACAACAAGTCTTCATATTTTTGAAATATGAATCCTATTGAAATCTGGTAAGAATATTAAATGTGAATACAGTGTTTGTAATAATATTTTGGTGAGATTGTAAATTCTACGATATTACAGGTATAAAATGAGTGCAAACTGATGAGAGCCAGGTTTTAATTTTGTATTTAATATTACTTTGATTTCAATGTAACGAAAGTAATTCAAACTATGAATAAAATGTTTATTTGTATAAAAAAGCATTGCGATGCAAAAATACTTTATATTCCACCATCCGTATTTAATATTCCACCTTCCAAACAACACAATATTTAGTGCAACATCAAAGCTTTTCAAGAAAATTGCATGTTCCTGAGATGAAAATTCCAACATCTATCAGTAGTCACTCGCTATCGTCCCTACATCGCGAACTGATGATAGAAGATGATGAATGAAGTGATGTAGGATGAATCAAGCTAAAAATAATTCAAATATTTAATAACATTATGCAATGCATCGTGTTTGCAAATAAAATTACTGTTATTTATTAAATTAATGGTTGGTGATAGAACATGATTAATGAAGTGATGTTGGATGATTCAAGCTAGAAATTATTTAATTATTAAATTAAATTGTGCAATGCATCGTGTTTGCGAAAAATTGCTATTAAATTATTATTATTTATTAAATTAATGGTTCAGCAAAGACAATAACTGCTCCAAAATCTCCAAGCTGATGTCAAGTTCAGAACACAAAACAGGGCACTTCGTCGTAGGTATTGATGTTTTATGAGTGTTCCTCGCTGGCGGTTGTGTTCTTTCATTGGATGTTCAAAGCTGTTCACTACTCCTTACCTTCATCAGCCAATAGCGTGCGCTGATACAAACAACATCCACCAATCACAGGCGCAAAAACTGACTTTAAGGTCAACGTTGAACTTAGGATTAACTTAGGACTTAGGATCAACGTCGAACTTTGGGCCAACGTCTAGCTTAGTGTCACCGTCGAACTTTGGATCAAGGTCGAATTAAGGGTGAACGTTGAACTTTGGGTCAACGTTGAACTTAAATCAACTTCTAACTTAGGGTCAACTTGGGGCTTAAGATCAACGTCGAACTTTAGGTCAACTTAGAACTTAGGAAAAATGTTGAACTTGGGGTCAACGTTGAACTTAGGCTTAACGTTGAACTTAGGGTCAACGTTGAACTTAGGCTCAACGTTAAACTTTGGCTCAACGTTGAACTTAGGCTCAACGTTGAACTTAGGATAAACGTCGAACTTTGGGCCAACGTCTAGCTTAGTGTCACCGTCGAACTTTGGATCAAGGTCGAATTAAGGGTGAACGTCGAACTTTTGGTCAACGTTGAACTTGAATCAACTTCTAACTTAGGCTCAACTTGGAGCTTAAGATCAACGTCGAACTTTAGGTCAACTTAGAACTTAGGCTCAACGTTGAACTTAGGATAAACGTTGAACTTAGGGCCAACGTTGAACTTAGGCTCAACGTTGAACTTAAGATAAACGTTGAACTTTAGGCCAACGTTGAACTTAGGCTCAACATTGAACTTTGGGTCAAGGTCGAATTTAGGGTCATAGAGCTGCCGTCAACTTGAAATATAATTTTTGCGTAAAGCTTACGACCAACGTTGAATGTGTAAATACTTGAAGCCAGTGTCATGAGTAAATAGTTTAGAAGTGGTGGGGTGAATAAAAAGAGTTGGAGGATTAAGAGGGGAAGAAGGAGTAAGTGAGGGGTAAGTAGTGAACAAGGAATCAAGGAGGAGTAGGGGCGAATAAATCGCAAGGGAAATGTAAAGAGTGAATGAAGAATTTTTGAAGAAAACGGTGTGTAAAGAGGAAAGGGTGAATCAGAGGGTGAGGAATAACTAAGGGATGAAGGAGGAGTGTGTAAGGTAGTAAGAGGTAAATATGAATTAGATATTAAAAGTAGAGCAGAGTAAAAGGTTTAATGATTGATTGATTCTGGAGTGCTAAGTTGAACCATGCGTAAGACCGGGGTGGTGAGTGAACATTGAGCAGTGAATGTTTTTTATAAATTATGCT